TATATATATATATATATATATATATATATATAGTGTGTGTATATATATTTTTTTTTCCTTAGCAAGCAAATGCTATTAGAAAGAGCCTCCACCTATAAGAATAGAACAAAAGTATCTTCACAAAGTTCACAGGGAGAGGGGAGAGTGCATGCCTTTAATCTGAGCACTGGGGAGACAGAGGCAAGTGAGTTTCTGAGAGTTTGAGTCCTACCTGATCTACAAACTGAGTTCCAGAACAGTCTGGACTGTTACACAGAGAAACTCTATATCAAAAAAGCAAAACAAAAACAACAAAAAAAGAAAGTTCATGTAGGAAAACAGCAGCTAAAAACATTGTGTTAATTCCTTTTTCTGGTTGCTGTGACAGAATACCCCAAAATGCAGCTTAGGAGAGAAAGGTTTAACTCATCATGGGGAGGAATTTAGCAGGCTGTGACTGGTCACATGGTGTGCACAGGAAGCAGAGAGAGATGAACGTTGGTGCTCAGTTTGCTGTCTCCTTTTTATTCTGTTTAGGACTCTAACCATAAAATGGTACAACCCATATTTAGATGTGGGCTTCCTACCTGGTTAATCTATAAATTCCCTGAAAAACATACTCAGAGACTCATTTCCATGGTGTTTGTAAATCTCATCAAGTTGATAGCATTATCAATCACAAGACACCCACCGGTAACTTGACACAAAAACACATCACTGCAAACCTTGACATTCGTCTCTAGCTCCCATAGGTACATGGCCATCTCATTATACAAAGTGCTTTTGGGTCAACATCATAAGTTCTCAGAGGCTTAGCAGTCTCAGCGGGTCTCATCTAAGGCTCAAGTCACTCTTAACTGTGAACTCCTATGAAATGAGAACCTACACTGAATATGCAATAGCATAGAATAAACATCCCTATTCCAAAATGGAAGAAATAGGGCATAGCAAGGAATGATTGTATCTAAGCAAGACTGAAGCTCATCAGGGCAACACCAAGTGTACGTTCACTGGGCATCTGGGGCTCCAAAGGGCCTGGAGCCCCACCCTCCAGCTCTGTTGCCTGAGGACACATAGCCTCTCTCTTGAGCGAGCTCCACTCCGTATCTGCAGCTTTCCTCCACAATGTTGGACAATACTGCTGTCTGTGACATCCTGGGTTCTGCACTGCAGCTTAGGCTTCACCTTCACACCTCTGCTCAGCAGCCTCGGAATACCAGTCATGCCATACTGCCTGACCTCAGTGCTCTCCAGAACCATAGCACAAGACTTCATGACTCCCGCAGTCTTGCCTCTTTCATACCTGCAGAACCAATATTTTGGACAGTGCCACTAGCTCAGGATGGACCTGACCTCCTTCAACCACAGTTGGAGTGGCCATTGTGTGCTGACTCTGGGGTACATTCCTAGGGAACCCTTTCCTTGCCATCCTCAGTTTAGACTATTCTTTCTAGAAAAGTTTTACTTTCACAAGTTGGAGGCTTTGATAGGTGTGCTCTTGCCCTCAGGTCCCCTTTCCTGTTGTCCCAGTGCAGACTGCTATGTTTCTTTTTAGTGGCTCTAACCTAACCTAAGGGTTACAGCTGCTTTCAATCCTGCATTGTTTCTAACTTTCAGCCCCCTCATGCTCTTTTTGCTTGACAAACTGCACACTTCAGTATCTTCTCTGAGTAAGCAGTGAGCCATAGCCATTGTATACAGGCTGAATGCCACCTGTCTTAAGATAAACATGTGGTCCGTCTCTTAGTAATCCAGCTTCACCCAGGCTCTTGTGACACAGGCAAAATATAACCAATTTCTTTGCTTGACTATAACATGAGTATCTATGTTCCTGAGAGTCCTCATTCCTCTCTGAGGGCACATGAGCCAGACCTCTCTTAGCACTTCGGTCCCTGCATCCCCTTTTCTAGCCCACAGAGCCACATTCCTCCATAAACCAGTTCTAAAGGCCCAATAACCAGATAGGATTATCAGAGCAACAACCTCGCTTAATAATTCTGTGCTAGTTACTTGTTACTGTGATGACTCTCCTGACAGGAAGTACCTTATGGAAGGAAGTGTTTGTTTTGGCTCACTGTTTGGATGCAGTCCACATGGTAGAGAAGGTCTAACACCAAGAAAATGAGGCACCCATCATGCTGTCTACAGCCAGGAAGCAGAGAGAGAGGAATCCTGGAACTTAGCTTGCACTCTCCTTTTTATTCAGTTTGTGACCCCAGCCCGAGGAGTGATGCCACCCACAGTTAGGATGGGTCTGCCCACCGCTAAGTTCAAACAAGTTGATCATCAAGATTAACCATTATGCCAGGCATAATGGCAAATATGTCTAAGCATAGCACTCAGGAGGCATCGACAGTAGAGCTCTGAGAGTCTGTGGTCAGCCTGGTCTACACAGTGAGCTCCAGCTCCATTGGAGACACCAGGAAACCCCGTCTCAAAAGACACCAACAGACATAAAGATTAACTATCACAAATTTTGAAAAAGAATTTTTGAGTTTTGGTTTTTTTTTTTTTTTTTAAGATTTATTTTTTTGTATGTGAGTACACTGTAGCTGTCTTCAGACACACCAGAAGAGGACATCAGATCCCATTACAGATGGTTGTGAGCCACCATGTGGTTACTGGGAATTGAACTCAGGACCTCTGGAAGAGCAGTCAGTGCTCTTAATGGCTGAGCATCTCTCCAGCCTCAAGATTTTATTTTTAGAGTAACTTTTTAGAAATAAAGATGGAGGGAGAGAGAACCATCAGGTGTCCAACAACCAGGAGTGATTACAACTAGAAAGCAAGGGTGTTTCTTCAGGAAGTTGTTACATGATCTAACAGTGACTCTATGAGGCTCAAGTCTGGTTTTGAATAGTGCAAGCTGTGAATTCACAATGCTTTGAATCCCGAAGACCCTCATGTTCATAGCTTATCTGTGTAATCGTGAGGCCATCAAACTGAGGCCTCTCATACAGTAGTGTTAATCCCTCAGGTTTGCTGTGGGCCTCTGGTGGGGCTATTTTAATTTCACATGCAGATGGTGGGTAGGTATCACTTGTAATTCCTTAAAGGACTATGATTTGACCCATTGGATCTCATGTTGTAAGAGGTTCTCAGAATGGAATTCTATGCACATAGCTCTACCACATAAAGGAACACTAGCCCAAGGGCCTGGGTTTGTCCTAGCACTGCAGAAAAGAAGCAATGACAACAAAATATGTAAACAAGTTTCTAAGGTCTAAAACGGAGAATCTGGCAAACCTCAGCCTTCTGTGTTGGAGATCTGCCTCCTGTGCTCAGTCACCTGCCAGACTGTGGCACACTTGCAGAGGTCGGGGTTCGAGGCGAATGACTGCACTGCAGTGAGCTGGACCCTGGACTGGCATGCACACTGGGAGGACACTGCGTCAGTATTCACATTTGTCCCTTCTTTCTCACTGCAGCTTTTGTTCGGAAAGATGCCCTGCCACTGGGAACCTTTTCCAAATACACCTGGCATATCACTAATATTCTGCAAGTCAAACAAATCTTAGACACCCCAGAGGTAAGAGTTTATTCCTCAGGAACTGTGTGTGTGTGTGTGTAGGCACACATGCACACTTGTACATCTGTATTTGAAGGCTAAAGGATCACACTAAGTATCTTTTTCAGTCACACTTGACCTTATTTTTTGAGACATGGTCTTTTGTAATCATCACTGTTGTTTTGTTTTTTTTCAAGACAGAGTTTCTATGTGTAGTTCTGGCTGTCCTCGGACTCAAAAAGGTCCCCCTGCCTCTGCCTTCTAAGTACTGAGATTAAATGCATATGCCACCACCACCTGGCAAGAAACATAGTCTTTCATTGACCTGAAGCTCAATTTAGTCAGACTAGCTGGCCAGCAAGCCCTGTCTCCCCTGCCCCACCTTGGTTTTGCGTCTGCATCTTTCTTTGGCCTGGAGCTCACCAAGTAGGTTAGGCTGGGTGGCCTATGAGCCCCAGGGCTCCACATGTCTCTTCGTCTCCAGCACTGAAATTACAAGCAAGTCCCAGCACAGCTGAGTTTCTGGGGACAGAACTGAAATTCAGGTTCTTCTGCTTTCTTGCTTGTTAAGCTCTTTACTGACGGAGTCACCTGCCCAGCTCCTGAAGTTCCTTGTTCTTGCTAAAGGATTATTTAGATGCAGTCCGTATAGTTCTGAGTCTGATTTTGGTAACCATTCATGCTTTAGAAAGTGTTTTAAAGGGCCAGTGAGATCACTCAGCAGGTGAAGGTTTGATGGCCTTGAATATGATCCCAGCCCATATAAAATGGAGTCTGCTGGTACACACTTTCACTCCCAGCTCTAAGATGGAGGCAGGAGAATCAAAAGTTCAAAGCCATCCTCAGCTACATATCAAGTCAGAGGCCAGCCTCAGCTATATGAGACCCTGTATGAAAAAGCAAAGCAACCACAAAAAAGTATCTCAAGTTTAAGATAGTGGTTTTTGCTTTTGGGATCAGAAAGCAGGATTTGGGACCATGCATAGTTGGTGCAGTCTTTTAATCCCAGCACTCAGGAGTCAGAGGCCAGCCCGTCTACATGGCAAGTTCCAGACTAGCCAGAGTTACCACATAAGACCCTGTCCTCCTCCCTCTGTCTCCCCCCAAAAAAACAAAGCAGAATTTTCCTTGTAAATTCGTGATCCTCTGGTGTCTGTGAAGATCCTAGACTTAGCTGATAGCCGCTAGAATGGGTATTCATAATAGTAGATGGCATTCTATCTGTGAGGTCACTAGGTCTTGTTTAAGCTCTCCTCCTCAAACTGTAATTTGATGACCTGTGCTTATTCTCTTTCGCCACAACACACTGAATATTTTACTACATCTATTTGTTTGCTTATTTTATTTAGTTAGCGTGCGTGCGTGTGTGTGTGTGTGTGTGTGTGTGTGTGTGTGTGTGTACACACGACTCGGCTCCCTCCTCCTCTTGTGGGTTCTAAGAGTTGAACTCAAGTGGTCCCCCTTGCCCCAGGCACCATTACCTACTCAGCCATCTCACCCAGGGCTGGGCTTCCCCTCTCTCAGCTTCTCTTTCCTATGTAACTCAGCCATTTAGGCTGCACACACTATTAGTTCTGCTCTTGGTTCTCTTGGTTCCCATGTACTCTCGGAACCTCTTCCCCACAGCTCCTTTCTTTTCCTCTCCTATTCCTCACCCCCTCCTCTCATGGCCTTGTTCAGTCTGGTTCAGACTCCTCCAGATGCCTCCGGCGTTCTCTCCCTCATGTCTACAATCAAACCCTTCTCAATAATACCTAGGAGCAGTCACGTCCTTCCTTTCATTCACACACATATACATGAATAATAGTTTTAAAAGAGTCATAAGAGACCTAGTGGTACCCACGATCCATGTGTGTCAAGTTTTCCTGTCTCTCTTTCTTGCTGTCTCTGTGTCCAGATGCCCCTGGAAATCACACGAAGCTTTATCCAGAACCGGGATGGGACTTACGAGCTTTTTAAATGCCCTAAAGTGGAAGTAGAGAGCATAGCGGAAACCTACGGCCGCATCGAGAAGCAGCCTGTCCTCAGACCCTTGGAGCTGAAAACCTTCCTCAAAGTTGGTAAGTGACTTTCACCTCTGCCTTGAGGGTCCCCTGTTCCTGAGGCTCTAGATTTGTCCTGAATCAAAGCACATGCACTCACTTTGTAAGAACCTGAGAAACATGTTTGTCTCTCTTGAGCTGGTGAGGTCTGAACAGTAGCTGAATGTGTGTGTATTGTGGGGAGATCATGAAAGAGTTAGTGACCCCTGCAGTCTGCTCTCCTCACAGAAGCATTACAGTTATTTCAATGTAACACCCTCTGACCCTCCCCCATTGCACTCTGTAGCCCTGGCTGCTCTGAAACTCACTGTGTAGACTGAATGAAAAAACAGAGAGAAAGAAAGAAGAAGGGAGGGAGGGAGGGAGGGAGGGAGGGAGGAAAGAAGGAAGGAAGGAAGGAAGGAAGGAAGGAAGGAAGGAAGGAAGGAAGGAAGGAAGGAAGGAAGGAA